AATTAAAATACTGAGGAGGATGGTTATAAATAGAGTAGACTTTCAGTCAATTCTTTGAAGACACTAATATTTATGTAGAGCCTGCATATGGTAAATGTATGCTAGTGATTTCAAAAAATATATTTGTTTCTCCTTTAATTTCTATGAACACCTTAATATATTTAGGAATGAAGACTGAGTATTATCAGTTTTGGTGCTGAGATTTAAATGAGGCTGTCTGACTAACTTTAACATTCAAGTTCTTCATATATTCCAGATGATTTTTATGTTCTTTATTTCATTACTCATATAAAATCATTTTTAATATGTGTATTGTGAAGAGCTAGTATTTTTCACATAGGTAGAGGGAATGAGTCATTTGTGTTACTATCCCTACCACCCTGTTAAATGTTTTTCTCCTTTCCTCAGGGTTTTTTTTTTTTCTTCTGTTTAATACTTTTGCAATATCTTATTTTTTATTCCTTCAGTTTCACATTAGCATAATGTGAATGGGGTTGAGGGGCAAATCCAAAAACAAAATACCCAGAAAATATGAAAGCAATAGAGATAGGAATTAGTACTTGTTTTCTTATGTCCTCCAGCTTCTGTCACATTTTTAAGTCATATTTATATGACAACCATACAAGAATGGCTAGCAGAAATACGAATGTGAGTGCCAAGGATTTAGTATATGGGTCCTTCTCCCATCTACTCTGTTTCATAATCCCTGAATTACCAATTTAAAAACTCATATTTAAACTAGTCACAGTGGTGAAACATCTGTAATCTGACCTACTGGGGAGTCTGAGGCAAGAGAATTGCAGGCTCAAGGCTAGCCTGGGTAAGTTAGTGAGGTCCTTTCTCAAAATAAAATTTAAGGGAAAAAAAAAAAAAACATAGGTCTGAGGACCTTTCTTAGCATGTGTGAGAACCCGGGTTCAATTCCTAGTATTGCAAACAAAATATAGCAAAAAACAACTTTCATTCGTAATTGATTAGTTCTATTGTGGAATGGTATTTTCTGGCACAACATTTCTTTTGAGTTTTGCTAGGATATCACATAATAATAGACCTGAAATGAAATTCGTTTTGTTATTATTTTTTCTCTTCCCTACAAAATACACTGTCTCCTTATCCTAGTTCTGTATGTGGCAAGCAAGTTTCAGTGTCTGAAACAGAAACCCTAGTATCATCTTTGATTCCTTTTTCTCCTCTATTTAATCTGTCCATGGGCCCTGTTGTATCTCACATAGTACGGTTTCTTAAAAACCCTGCTACCCTCTGTCAGTGTTGCAGATACCTAATCTCTCATCCCTTATTATTTAAGACTAAAGTCTCCTAGAGTTTCTTGTTTTGCTTGTTTGTTTGTTTGCAATGAAGTTTTGCTGAATTTTTCAGACTGGTCTTGTACTTTTAGTCTTCCTGCCTCAGCCTCCCAAGTAGCTGAGTTTACAGTTGTATGTAGGAAAAGTTTTAGTTATCTTTGTTTAAAAGCCAGTAGTGATTCCTTATTTATAGTTCTTTGCCTGGATTAAGGTATATAGTGGACCCTTGATTTACGAACTCCATGGGTTCCTGAGGGCTGGTTGTAAATAAGTCAATATAGCTGAGACGTGGATGTTTATCTTGGTAGATGCTATAGATAACAAGAGGCAGATGAATCTTCCATTAACCTAATTAATCCAAGTTAGTCCTATATCAGGCTGGTTATAACTTCAGAGTACAGTGTAATCTGTCCTTTTAAAAAAAATTTTAGTTCAACTGAGATTCCTACTAATGGCAGTGTATACATTTTCCAGTTAGATGATATTCGTACTGGTCATAATGAGAACATACTATACTTCTGTTGAATCTGCTATAGGCCAGGCACTGTTTGATGTCCTTCACTATTCATTTCACTATTTCTGTCTTATAAGATTGAAGGTGTTTAATTTGCTGAGTGATTTCAGTCCTGATTAACATTATTTTTTATTTTTTGTGGTGCTGTGGATTAAACCCAAAGCATTTGCACTGAACTACAATATCAGCCTTTTCTGAGTTTTTATTTTGACAGGGTCTTACAAAGTCACCACCTCACCCAGGCTGGACTCCTATTTAACAGTCCTCTTGCTTCAGAATCCCAGAGTGCTGGAATTACAGGCATGTTGCCAGCACACTCAGCTTCAGGATTGAGTTACTGTGTGTGTTAAGACTGAAGTGTTCTTCACTGTGCTCTGTCTTCCCATATGCCATGCTTCTACCTCTTTGCCTTTATTTATGATATTCTGTCTTTCTGTCTTCAATGTTTGCAGTTAATATCAACCAATCAAATACTAGCTCGACTCAATTAATTCTCATGGATCTTTCTTGTGTCAAAATCCTAATGTATTGCTAAAGTATCTGCATAGCTTATTGTGTAATTATGCTCATTATAATGTGATTTATCTTTCATTTTTCCACAATTGTTCAGCAACACTTTACAACCATCCAGTACTTGTTGAGTGAATACATTTGTTTTCGACATTTTAAGTAGACTTTAACCTTCTAGAAAATTTAGCTCTCACTTTTATTTATCCCTCACCCACAGATCTCAGCACTGTGGTTGATCAGTCTATCTATCTATCTATCTATCTCCACACACACACACACACACACACACACACACACACACACTGTAGCATAAGGATGTGGGAGATCCCAGGCCATCTGTCTTTCAGGACTTTAATGAGAAATATTTTCCCAATGTTATGCATATAGATACTGTTATGGCTAGTGTTTAGATGTTCCCCAAAGCCTCATGAGAACAATGTGGGGTTATTTTGAAGGTTACTGAATCTAGAGTATGTAATATGTGGTGCAGTGCTAGGCCTAAGAGCACTAGGATTAAGAGTGTGAGTGCTACTCACCCTAAGTAGTCTGAATAACATAAAAAGAGCAGAGAGAAGCTGTTAAGGTCCTCTGTTGCTTCTGCTGTCTTCTATACCCATGAACTGTTGCCCCTCTGATACCCTGCCTTAGAGCCAGCCAATTATGGACTGAAACCTCTACACATTGTAGTCCAGGCAAACCCTTTCCCTTTTAACTTTGGGATTTTGGGATTTTTATCTTAGCAGTGAGAGCAAAGTAACTAAGACACCTAACCCAAAAAGGCAATACAGTAAACCCTGGTCTAGATGTAATTTAAGTAGGTAAATAACACATGAAACATATTATCTACATATTTAGAAATTTAAAAAGATGCCGTTTTTGTGCAGTTAGTATATGGAAGCCACCAAACTAAGTGTTTTACATTCATTATCTTTTAAATTCTAAAAACTTAGTTATTAGATAAATGGTGTTGCCGATGCTCTTAATGGTTTAATGACATCTCATAAGCAACAGAACCAATTTAAACCCGGGTCTTCTCAATTTTAAATATCTCAATTTTAAGCACTGTTCTGCCTGTTGGTCTTGTTTGGTCTCATTGTTGAATTTTCACCACTTGAGAAATATCTCCATTTAAGCTCATTAATTTGAAATACATTTGATCATGCTTGAGAGGTACTTACTGCAGTTTCAGGCACCAAGTCCCTAAATAAATGGTAATGTTTGTTATTGGTATTCTCCAAATTACACTAAAGTATTCATGATACTGTCTTCCCCCAATGCCATCTTATCTTTAAAGATTGAGTCAGCTATTCCTTACCTCTGTAAAATTTGTGTGTGTGTGTGTGTGTGTGTGTGTGTGTGTATTTCAGCTTTATGAGGACAGGAAGTTTTAGAAACTGAGAATTAAAACTGAGCTACTTTGTAACTCTCTCTGTCTTTGCACAATGTATCTGAAGGCATGCCTGGCTCAACTCAAAAGTGAAAATTAGATGATGGGTATCAGAAGTATCTACAGTTGGCCCTCAGTGTCTTTGAAAATTTGTTGATTTACTGTACCTACTTTCACTTTTTGCAAGATCTGTAATAACCTTTTTCTGCAGCTATAAGAATGCCAGGCTCATGGGAGGTGGCATCAACATCCTAGTTTTTATTTTTTTATTTATCTGTGCATTTACAATATGGAATTTAAGAAATAAAGCTTGATTAGAGACAAACAATAGTAATGACAATAAGTAAAATTGAAGACATTTTTATGTGGTATGATTTCAAACCTATAGAAGTTACATAGTTTCAAACTTGCAGAAAATTTGTAAGAATATTCGAAAAACTCATATGTTTTAATCTGTTTTAAAATGTTATTAAAATAAGTTTTCTTTGCTACTTAGCATTTGCTCATTATATAATAGTTAATATTGTTGACACTATTAAAACAAATTATTCATTTTTGTTGTCTAAATATGATGCTTTTTTTAAATCAAGATTTGCTTTTAGTAAACTATAATTCTTTAAAATATGTATGTCCTTTATCTAGTTCCTGGTACTCACATCTTTCATCCTTCGACAGTATTCTTATAGGTTATTATTTAAAGATGTATCTGTTTTAATGTTTAAGCAATTTACAATTTGAATGTGGGCTAAAGTATTTTTCATTGAAATGAAATCATAAATTTTATTCAGGTTGGAAATATTAGAACATTCACAAAAATTCTGTGTGAGAAATCTAATTAGATAGGGGAAAATGAGCCTATTTTATTTTATAGTTGTGGAATTCTAGCATTTTGGTGGCAACATGAAAGAGTGTTTGTATGGTTCAATTGTAAAATGATGCGCAAACTGGTTACATGAAACCAGAGTAATTAAAGGTATTTTTAAACTTCATGCCCAATGTACTGTTTCTTAGTTAAATCTGCAAAACAGAACTTTAAACATTTTAACTACAGTTTCACCAGAATAAGTACTTATGTTCACATTACTATTAGGATCAAGTGAAATAGTATGTGAAAACAGTTTAATTGTAAAGTAGAAAAATGCTGCACAGCATGTAAGGTTTTTTTTAATAGAAACAGACAAGAAAACAAAAATTGTATTCAATAACTTGAATAAAGGAGCCATTTTGTCGATACTGTCGGCATGAAATTATACAGAATTTAATATATGTGCATTTTTAATTTCAGATTCAAAATGCTAATGATGTATTAATTGCGCCACTTGAGAAATTTCGGAAAGAACAGATAGGTGCAGCAAAAGTAAGTGTTACTTTTTATTACTCTTCAGATATTTTCCTGATAATTAAAGATGATATAATTTCAGATATTAACATTTTTGAAAGTAGAATGACCTTTAAAAATATTCTGTATGTCATTTTAATGTTTTTACACAGAGCCTATTACAAAGACTGGAATTCTTTTAAACATAAATGGTCTTATTCTACTTAATAGGGAAAAAATGTACATTTTACAAGTTCCTTCAGTCTCAACAGTTGGAGGATATTAATTTGCTTGAAGACAGGGTTAGATTATGATAATATTGTGAGAAGGTTTGTTCCTAATATCTAAATAACATAAAAACAAGACACAAGATATACTGAAAATCCAGTCAGTAATTATGAAAGAACACTTTTTTGTTATAAATAAAAATATTTTATTGGAAAAAATTTAAAACTGTCATAAAGCCTTTGCATTATTATTCAATTGTCTGTGGACCAATTAAATTTTCCCTGTGCCTGAATTATTTACAACCTCTTTCTTTGGTCTGCTTTTTGTCCACTTGTTCAACATCATGTAAGCATAGGAAATTTAAGGTTCAGTACCAGAATTTATTATTTCCCATCCTTTCTGTTTTCAATTTCAATTACCCTTCCTCCCATTCTAGCAATGCTGTTCATTATGCTGCAAAATTATTTCTGTTCCTTTCTTCCTTCTGGCTAAAATACTGCAATAGCTTACTAGTTGGTCCCTACACCCTCATTGTAATCTGTTAGTAAAATTTTACCATCTCCAATCATGTCATTTTTCCAGCGATAAAACTTTCAGTGGTTATTGAAAAATAGTTTAATTCTAATAGTGAAACACAGGTTGGCCACTTTCTACATGTCAGTATTACCTAACACTATGCACAGTTACCTATGTATCAGTCTATATTTATACCTTACTTTGTCCATGTCTTTTTCCAAACATTCCCTGGAATATTTCTCATCTCCACTTTTTAGAATCTTGCCTATTCTCCATGGTTTATTTCATGTTGCAGCATCACAAAGAAGTCTTCTTTATATAGGCCTTCCAAAACCAGTCATAGGATCGACTAGTCTTTATACTTATTTCCTATAATAAGTAGTCACACACTGTTGTGAATCAGAATTTTATGTTGATTTTTCCACTAATTGAGTAATTTTCATGTCAAGAATTAAAATCAGAGCCATTTGTGTTCATTAATTCAGAAAATATTTATCACTCTTATGATTGGCCCACATATCATAAGTGGTATTTAGTAACATTAAGAAATTACAGTCATAAACAAGAGAGAATCTTTGTACTTAATATCCTTTATTATCTTTTGTGGGAAACAGTCACTAAAGTAATTATAAATGCACTTAGGATTGTGATCCAAAAGTGCAGAATGCTCTGCAAGAATGTGATTAATAGTCCTTGTCCAGAGAGTCCAGAGATGCCTTCTGCAGAAGCCTTGGATAAGCTGAGACCTTAATGATGAGAAAGAAATAATTAGTAGGTAGTTGGAATATCTTAGGATGGAAGAAATCTGCCACCTATTTGAGAAGAAGGAACAGAAGGAGTATGAATAAAGACCTCAAGGAAGAGAAAGATTCAGTTATATAGAAAGATCTCATATGTTTAGAGAACAAAGGACCATTCAGGAAAAAGCCATACATACAGTTTTATACGTGTTCTGTACTATTGCACTCCTAGCCTTAAGGATGGAACAACTGTAAGAAGGAGAGTGATATTACATTTATATTTATAATTATCACTCTATGATATCTGTGCTGCCATGTCATGCACAGATTGAGAGAGAAAAAACTGCTTGTGGGCAGATCAGTTTGGAGGCTATTAGCTAATAGCTTTGCGCTAGGCTGGTAACAGTAGCTGCAGAGACAGGATATATGAGAATTCTCTCAGAGGAACCAGTTAGAGGTGGGCTGTAGAATGGAAACTGAGGAATGGGAGGTTTCAGGGATGATCCCCAAGGTTCCAGGGTACCTAACTGAGCGGCTGTGGATCTATCACTGTGATAGTCAGTGTTTGTGTTTGGATGGCAATGGTCCTGATTTGAAGTTTTATTAATAATGAATGAATTTGAGGTTCCTTCAATCCATCTAAGTGGAAACATTGAGCAAGCTACCCTGTATGCAGATCTAATATACATTTGTGGATTCAGTTCTCTAGATACTCATTAAAATGAGAGATTAGATCCCTCTGGGAAAGAACAGAGTGAGAAGGGTAGGGTCTTTATAATTTGAGAATTTTCTCAAAGTTTGATGTTTCAGGAATGAAAATCAAGACGCAAGAGTAAATGGAGAAGGAAGGAACAAAGAAAACAATTACAAGAATGTATTGTGTCTCTTTTTGAAAAAGTCTTTTCAAAAATAGTAGTAGCTGATTTTTATTAGGAAAACTATAGGCACTACTTTCGCTAAACTGTTACATAATCTGTGACCTTATTAAATGTTCACAGTCTGTGAAGTGGCCCTTAGTGTTCCACTTGCTTACAAATGAGGAAAATGATGAGCTGTCCCTTCTCAGACCATAGAGCTAGGCAGTCAGGATGCACACACCTAAAATGAAGCCATGTTATACAACATTTCATTTCCTTGATGAATTTCTATAAAATTGAATCAAAGAGCTTTCCAGGTCTAGGATATTCCAAGTTTTCTGGCCCATCTTTAAAAAATGAGTTCTATTTGTGTGTGGATTGCTGCTTTCTCATCAGGAAGTTTAAGTGAGTTACCATTGCAAGGCAAGCAGGGGCAGTAACATTTTATTTTGTTTTGTAAACATTTCAACTTATTGGACAGACCCACAGGATGTTATGCCTTTGCCCAATCACTGACCATTTCAACCTATGGTTAAGTGAAACCAGTGAAGTATTGAACGTAAAGATTATTCCTTTCTCTGGTGATTTTGTATGTATCTTCTTTCGGAAGCTCTTAATACCATTGTTTCTAAGCTGCTAAGTAATCTTTGTTTAGTAAGGAGAAAAGTGAATTAAAAACAGGCATTCTCTTCTATATATACATAAAATATATGTATATGTCAGCTTTCTTTTGGTAATGTGAAACAAAAATCCTTGAAGGTGTTTTGTTTATTTTTTATTGTTTTATTCTGTTTACTTAAGTTTTTTCTTACTCGGTACATAAAGTTAATCCTAATAAAGTTAATGCTACTTTTCACAGACTGTTTAGTGGAGATTTTCCATAAGCATTTTTGGGGAGATCAGGCAGCTGGGTGGAAACGGCAGGGATGACAATTCAGTGTAGAATGTTCCATCGCAGTCAGTGACCTCTTCGGCTTGTCCACACAGCAAACAGAAATGGAAAACGCTGAGTCAAGTGGTCCTTGCTTCACAACCAGATCCTCCTATTTAACCCAAGTGGATAAAACTCCATGGCCACAAATGTTTCTTGTGTCATGTGCTTTGTGGAGCTTTGAGGCAAGTGATTCTCTGCTGTGAAAACTGAGGCACTGAGTTCCCATTGAGGGAAGGGGACATGGTATGTGTGTACATCTGGGCGAGACCCGGAACAAATTGATGATAACCTTATCAAGCTGAAGGTCAGAGGGGTGGGTCTTGCATTTTAGATAAGAAGAATCATTTATAAACAGTTCCATGGCGTATTTATTTAACGGTTGTTAGTCTGACAGAACGAGAAGATGGAATTGCCCGGGAGGCCAGACATATTGCATGTGTCAGAAGATTGGATCTAGAACTTGGTTTCTTTAATTTATTTCACACTGCTAGTTTAAATTATAAAAAATGAATGAAAGCAGGTATTTCGAAAACTAATGCCAACAAGAATTTCCCCTATATTAATTTATGCAGAATAATATTATTATAAAGCAAAATAAATTGTAACCTTTTTATGGATACTTTTTAAATTTTTAAAATTTTTATTAGTACATGTTAGCAATGCATAATGATTACATTCATCGTATAGAGTTGATATATGTACATAATACATCTTAATTCTTTTTCATCTTTTTCCCCCTCTCCCTCAAATTTTTTTTTTTTTTTTTGTACTGGGGATTGAGCTCAGGACCTTCCACCATTTATACTGACATTGAGCAAAATCCCTGGACACCCCTTCATCTATTTTTTATGAATACGTTTAGAATAAATTGACTGCATTGAAATTCTGTTTGCTCCCTGAGAGAATTGATTATAAGTTCCATCAGCTCTTTCACACTTGCTCATATATAAATTCTGTTTACAAAATATAGAGCTTTATATCTGAAATTTTAATGAAAGACAAGGCATTATGGCAGCATATATATACATACATATAAAATATACCAGACTGGTACATATTTTTGGAAGTAAACTGACTTTAAGGAGATTAGGGCTCATTTTCCATAAACTGCACAGCTAGTTGGTGGTGCAGTAAGGACCAGAACTCAGTTCCTCAGACCAGCAGTCTGCACTCTTTCATGTAGTTTCTTAGAAGATTCTTTTGTAAAATATTTAATTTTCTTTACTCTTTTTTTTGGTCATTTTCTTTACTCTTAAAAATAATTATATAAAATATACCCTAATAATAAAAATGTCTTAAAAATCCCAAATATGCCCATTTCAAATGAAGTCTAGTTAACATGTTTCCCTTGATTTTGAAATTCTCCTGGGTTCCTGGGATTCTCAGCATATAGAAGGTACTTAACATTGACTTATTTCATTATTAATAAAAGAGACTTAAGAAATATGTTTTAATTTCTATTAGAAATGTTTTCAAAACAATGGTTTTCATTTGTAATAAGTCTTTAATAGAAATCACATGACATTCCTACATGGTTTTAATACAGAAATAAACATAATACTAGTCATTTTAAAATAGAACTTGATTTTTTTACATTGGTTTCATGTTGAAAATTATAATAGAACCCAATAAATCTTCTCCTTTTGTTCTGTCCATAGTAGTATTACTTCTGTCTCTGAGAACTTGTTTGTTTTTTAAATATGTCTTGCACATATTATTTAACTGTGTAGTGTTTAGAAAGAAATTGTCATAAATCTTATCATA